AATCTAGATTTCTAAAGCTGTGATGGAATGAGGCCATTGGTGAGCAACAGTAGAACTTTACATGGAAAACCCCCCAAACACTTTACTAAAGCTATCAAAAGAGCTATTCTTTTAGATAGTTTTGGAGTAAATAAAACAACACTTACTCCTTTTAAGTGATTTGTTTGCATTAAATGATTCATTTGCATTTATTTGTCTAATCCCAGAGAGGTTATTGTGCAGCAGCATACTCACACATTCAGTCGGGCTATTCTTTAAATCTGAGTGCTGTGCCTTCTAAAGTGGGTGTGTGGATGCTGGATAGCAGCAGAGTTGGAATCCACTACATCAATTGAAAGAGTTTTCTATTCTGTATTGTCCCTATCAGACTTGCTTGTTGAAACAACATCAACCTTTCAGCAGTGGGAAGCCGATGGCCTGGGGAGCAGGAGGGATTCCTGACGTGCCACGCGGCCCTGTGGGAATCACTGTGAGATGTGTTTGCAAAAGCTCTGGTGGCTGCCACTGTTCTCACTGTGAGCACTTTTTGTACAGCTTCCATAAGCCTCTTCAGGATTATAGTCTCAAAGTGCTTAACTGGAAGGCAGTCAGAGTTTCAAGCACAGATCCCTTCCCAAAGTCATGCACACCCCTTGTGCCTTCAAGGTGGGACTTGAAGGTTTTTGGTTCGGCTGGGCATCACTGCCATTTTTGCCTACTTGCTCTTGCTGCTTTTCTTGCCCCATCACTGGCCCTTGTCTGGATCAAGGAGCTGAACTGGTAAGAGACTGAAAAGGATATAAAGTCAGAAGATTTTTGTCCACTTAGCACCCTGAACTGGTTCAACATGATGGATCATGGGCTTAATGCAAGAAAGAAAGTGGACACAGATAGCTGGGGTAGATCCGAAGAAACTTTTTACAGTGGTTTAACCATATTGTTAAACCACACCCTCAGTCTGTCTATCTATCTATCTATCTATCTATCTATCTATCTATCTATCTATCTATCTATCTATCTATCTATCCTTCTCCCTGTGCCAGAACTTAGGAGCTCTGGTTGAAAAGGACACTTACATGAGTGCTAATGCAGCCTGAATAAATGGTGGCATTTAGGCAGTGGCAGTGTGGGGGTTGAGACAGCCATTACATAACGTAATTGGAGATTTATCCACTGAAGCTTTACACTTGGAGAGGGACAAACTGGATGTCCCAGAAACCAGCAGTTAAACAAACACTGAATTTGTAAACCCATTCAGAATTTGTAAAAAAGTATTGTTGTTTTATTACTGTTATTTATCTTGATCGCGTTTGTTCTGCTTAGAAGAAATAAAACACAGGCACTCTTTCCCTTAATTGCTGGGCCTATTCTTTAGTAAACAATGAAAAGTGATTAGAGATGTTTTTTTGGCATGCACAGCCCAAAACCACCTAGTGAGAGTTCAAAGAACAAAGAAAATGCTTATTGGAAGAAATTACTCAGCTAACTAAACTTGTGTATCTTCGAGTCAGACATTTTTTCGGCATCTTTACCCCATTTATCAATGCACAATTACTGTCACTATTGTGTTGTGTCATTAGGCGTAAGGTTACAAGTGCCAGTCGGAATAAAAAAATTGCAGTAATGTTGGCATAATTTTTCATTATCATCTTCATTAACCACAGCTAGTGGGAGTAAGAGTTTATCCTTGCTGTTGTCATCGTCATGACAACGCTTCCAAAGCTTGTCTGCCAAGAGTTCACCAGATACAAAAAACTGAATGTCCTCATTATTCCACTTCTCACACTCTCACCCATGCCAAGGGTGATCCGAGATGCACAGGGCCCTTGATTTATCCCCTGTGATTTCTCTTGACAGCCTGGTATGGTGTCTCAGCTTAAGGCAATCGGTCTGATTTCACAGTTTAATTACTGCTAATCTGAAGGAGCGTGGCCAATGCTAATGAGCCAGCAGCAATCAAAGCAATAATGGCTAAACTCACCCGGTTTCATTCTTCTTTTTTTATTAAAACACCCCTTCCCTGAAATAAGCAAGTAATTTCTCCTTCTGTGTACAACTGCATTGAAAGAGCAGACAAGCTTCATGTACAATTTCATGTTCTTTCAGAAGCAGACCAGAAGATTCCTTAATATTTTCCACTTAAAAGCTCTGTTTAACGTTAGTTTTCAAACAGCCTTGATTCAAGAAAAGAACCAATAATTAGAAAAAACTCATTAGCAGATCACTAGCTCAACCACAGAACATGCACACTGGGGCCAAATTCTGGAGGGAGGCCTTCTTGATTTTTGCAGGTGGGCATCACTAAATTATGCAGCAAATGAAAATATCTATACTGGCACTCTGAAAGAGAACCTAGAACATTCAGAAAGGGCTTTATTGTAATGGGCATTGATTTAAAAACTGGATAACAATCTACCCTGCAAAATGACCAATGCCTTCAGTGGACACCACCGAATATCAGCGACTTCCGTGTTCTCGCTTTTCTTGAGCTTCTCTGCTATTGTTGAAAGAGATGAAAAAAAAAAAAATCTTCAGAACTGATTTCTGTCAATCATACCAGTTAAATACCTGGAGTAACCACAGGAAAATAAAAACAATTGGGCCCTGTATGTGCTTTTCCATACATCCATCAGCTGCATTACAAGTTTCTTCAGACAAATTTTCCTTGGTCTTTTTCTTCCTCAGAGAAGAAGCCTTACTTAATATATTTACCAAACTTGACTGTGATGAATTGATTAACATACAAAACCTTCCATACTTTAATGATTTCCCAGACAGAAAGCAACTTATCAGAAGCAAGAGCCCCAATATCAGTGTAAATCCTGGCTACTTCAGCCACCTTCATACAGCTATTCCATGTTTACTCTGGTGAGCCATAACTAGACTCTGGCTCATTTTGAATTAAGCAGAAAAACTGTGTTTCAGTGCTACTGTGTGTGATTTATGATATATAAATAGAAGGTTAGGCAATATTTTGCTTGTTAAATGACACGGGAGGAAGAAAGAGAGAGAAATCATCTATAAATAAATGGGTTTAGAGCAAATTTTGAAGAATGTGAACTGCTCATGTTGTGCATGTGCTTGTCTCAAGCTTATCTGCCATTATTTCAAATTTGGTGTTGCTCAGTTGACCTGAAGGAAAATAGTTTTTTCAACAATTTTGTGACACATAGGAATACCTGTGTGGAAAATCACATCTCCTTTGCAGAAAAAGGTGTTTAATAAAACAGTAAATATTAGAATGTGCAATTTATTTTTTTTTACAGCAGCGTCATTTAAATGTGTAATATAGCAAGACAGCGACCCTTAATAGGGTTAAGTTTATTATAAATCATTTTATCTCAACCATTCATTAAAGATCTTTTCCATCAATGATTGTTTCACATTCACAATCTTGTATTTAAAGATAGAAAACTCCAGACTGTAATGCTACAGAGATCTATTATTTTGCAGTGGTTTTAAAACTATTTTTTTTTTTTTTTTAACTCTGTCTCAGTACAGGGAAAATAATGCTCTGGGTGATCACAAAATATGGCTATTTCTATAAGATATATGAGAGAAAGAGAGAGTCACAAGAGGGGAACATCATTCTAATAATATTTTGTACTTCATCATAGCACTGTCAGAAGATGCCAATGGAGACTCTAAGTCATTTTAAAGAACCACTTCATTTACAGGGAAGGAGTTCACTCCTAATTAAGTTGGAAAGCCTCCAGGGCTTTCTCCAGCCTTTGCAATTCTGATTTCCTTGGAGAACTCCTGGTAAATCTAAGAGATCCAGAGATTTCAGTGTGATTAAGACCCTATTGACACAGACATTAAAACAGCACTAGTCAAACTATGCCATAAACCTTACACAAAAAAACCCCTTGTCCACAACAGCTCAGGTAAACTGAACTGGAATTCTGTTGGAATGACAGTAATACAGCATATCTATGGGGCACAAGTGGTAAAAAGGAAAAAAAAAATCTAGGTTAAAATCACTTATCTTCATTAGTACAGCTCATCAATATTCATCTGCCTTAGCTGGCTGAGGAACTCCGAAATATTGGTGTAAAGTTAAAAAAAAAAAAATTAAGCTAGAAGCTGCAAAATTCAAACTGTGTATGAGAGAGTTACAATTCTCTTATCTTCTCCCTTAGAATAGATCTATCTGGCAAGAATTTAATCTGGTGCCACCAAAGTCATGTAGCATAGCTACATGAAATATCTGAAGCCCTGTAAATAAAACTGGCACTTCACCATTAGGGCTAAATTCTGTGGTTTGGTTCACTGAAAAACTCTCTAAACTCTATCAGTGCAGCAGGCAGAAGAGAAGGAAGGAAGGTGGCACATTACCACTACTACTACTTATTATTACTACTATTATTACTAGTAGTATTATTGGTACTCTTATTATTACTATTAATTAATACACATACACACACAACTATAAGATGAGAATCAAATTGCCAAACTGCCACTTACACCGCTATCATTATCTCATTCTGAACCAAACTGATTATATCTAACATAGCAGTGGGCTGTTAATACATATGCACCCCAACAGAGAAGGCAAGGAAATATGCACTCTTATTTGTAGTTTCTCCCCTTTTATTGAATGTCCATCAGAAGGTCTTGGTTGATAAGAAGTTGTCACTCAAGAGTAAGTAGCAAACACAGGGACTTTGGTAAAATTGAGGCTTTGTAAATTTGGGTCAAAGAGAGCAAGTTGAACTGAAAAGAACTAATTTTATGTCATTTGGAATAGTGGAAGGTACCACAGCCACTGAATTGCCCTTCTCTTGCCATAAATAGGAATTACTAGCAGAAGTGCAAAGCCTTTTTGTTACACAAGTGATAGAGGCATCAAGTGAGAGATGCCATTAACAAATGTCGGGTATTTTAGTGAAGTGTGGCGTGATGGACCCTGTGACAAAAGAAACACAATGATGAGAAAAGGCTTCTAAAATATGATGCAGGGACATATTAGTCACGTGGAGGCAATGAAAACCCAAGAACAGACTGTCGAGAAAACTTGCCTGATTTCCTTCTGAATATTGTGAATTTGGAGGTCATCAATTCTGGCTAGCTGTGAATCTGGCATCCTGGTACTCTCCCTCAAAAAAGGAATTGCTCAGATAATTATCTACCAAAGAGGCCGGACCCAGAGCTGCTGAGGCTGCACTTCATGCACAGTTAGAATTGGCTCAATTTTAAAGTTACAATAAAGCAACTGCCTTCTATTATTCTAAAAAAGTGTTGCTGCTGAGGGGTTTTTTTGCAAGACAGGAGTAAGACAGCAGTATCAGGTCACTGCTTTGGAAAGGAAGGGATCTGAGGAATTACACAGAAGAATTGGAAGAGAGGGCATTTGAAGTGAACACAAAGAGAGAAAACCAAAATGATTAAAATTGGAGTGATCTTCAAACACGAACAAATGTCTGAGGTAAAGGAAAATAAAAGAAAGTAAACTTGGTTTGTTTAGCCACCAAGACTAATTCCCCTTCCTGTTAGAAAAGACCTTCATAGATCAAAGTATTAGAGTGCTCTGAATTTCACTTGGGCTATCAGTGATATCCTGATTAGATTTGTATTTAAACGGAATTCCCATACATTTCAATTACCAGAATCATTGGAGCCAAGTGCTCTTTCAAGTTAGACCTAAATTATCCCTTCTCTAACAGAAAGTGAAAAAGCATACAACGTTGATACCCGACATTGCTCTGTAGAGCCATATATACTTTTAGCAATCATGAGCATAAGTGGAAGCATTCTGTATTCACACAGTTCTACTGGTAAACAGAAAACTTGCTAGAGCAAACAAAAGCAAGCATAACATTGGCTTTTAATTGCTTTAATATTCAAAGCATAGTCTTTCATACTAGTCTTCAAAGTTGCTCTTCAGAATAATTCCATGTGCCCAAAAAGAAAAAAAAAAATTAAAAGATACTGCAAAAGGTACTGATTTTCATGTGTTGGCCTAAGCACATTCTAAAAGCAATTGCCCTTGATGGCATGCTATTTGACGGTGTAAAGGCAGATGTACCAAACTAGAGGCCTCTTTAAACATTGATGCCTGATCTACTGATTTGCACATTTCAATATTCCTAGCAGTGAACAGGAATCCAAATATCTCTTGATACATCCCTGAAAGATAAACATATTCACTGTTACTGAGAAACAGCTTAATGGGTAATACCACCCAAACACAACAAAGAAAAATGAAATATAACAGGTCTGGGCATGAATGGGAATTGCAGTTGTTACTTAAATGCACAAGGACATATATAGGGTCAATACATTCATTATTCACTTAAAACTCATCAAATGATGAATTCTGTAAATATGTGCTCTCTGGTTTAACATCTACATTTGGATCTAGGATTTAAAAATTAAAATAACTCATATTTTTTGGGGTTTTTTTGCAAAGTGCTTCCATATTGCCTCAACTTTTACTTGCTACTATTAAGTAGACCCCAGGGGTCATGCTGTTACTATGCCTTATGCTGTTTGTAAAATAATGAACTGCGTGCAAGATAATGGGGAAAATTCAATAGCAATGATTTTCGCTGAATAATCTTCCAGATTTAGAGAACCACCATCCTCCTACCTTACAGAATTTTACTGCTGAAAGATAACTCTGAATCACAATGCAGCAAAACAAATTTCATCAGTGCTTGTTGCTATTGTGGACCTTTGACCCCTTTGTGACTTCTCCCCGTCCTCCCTACTCTGTGCCCTCACTATGTTTTCTCACAAATTCCTTCCACAGTATCTGCACAACATCCTACTTCTACTCCCAGACACTTTCCTTATTATTGCAATTTTCTCTAAAGGATGATGCTGTCTAGCTGATCTGCAAGAAAGGGTAGAAAGCCAAGACGTTTAAAAATGTCACGGTCATCTGGATATATCCTTCTCATATCAGTGTCATCTGTGAGTCCCAGTTTCTGTACTACATGGAGGTACCTGGACAAGAGACTGGCTATTTCCCTATCTTATAAGATATACCTTTGAAGCCTTAATAATAATAATAATAATAATAATAATAATAATAATACACTATAACAATAATTAAATACCAGAGACTACTTGTAACTTTTCCCTTACCCTAATGATATCACAAGTGAAACAAATCTACTATATATATCTCTAACACCACACCACCACCATATCTGAATTATGGTTTTCCCTTGTTTGACAGTTTAAATAATTTGAGAAAAGTGTCAGGTGGAATATTAGATGCACACCTGCTGTTTCCACTGAATATTTTCTCTAGAAGGTAGGATAACCCTACTCCTGTTTGTAGTTCTCTTGCACAGAAAAATAAACAAGAATTGTAGTGTGAATGTACCAGTCAGCTTCAGGTCTTATTTCAAGTAGGAAAAATGTTTGGGCTGGAATTTAGATGTAATTCATGTGTGTCTTTTTGGGATCTTGCAGGGTCTAATTGTCTGTTACACAGTTCCACCTCACCAGGGGAAATTCCGGACTCAGAACCTTACTTTGCTCCTCATCAATGAGAAGGAGAAACATCAAAGGACCTTCCACTGCTAGACAGAAACAAGGTCATCATCATTATCAGTGATAACAGCTCCAAACTTTTTCAGAGTAGGAAGTGTAGCACAGACAAACCCAGATGCAAACTGTTTTGGGTTATCCAAAGCCTTCGTGCATAGCACTTTTCCCTTTTAACCCTTCTGTACCAAACAATAGCTTTTTAAAAAGAGGCCAGTAGTTTTCCTGCCATCCCTTTGGCAATATTTCATATTCACAGAGCCATGTTTTGAGGTGTCAGTAGCTGCAGCTGTTCTTATTTGTGTGGTCCCAAAAATAAGACTTCTACTTCTTATATGCACTGGCAAGTCTGTCAGCCTGCAGCCCCCAAATTCAGCAGATGGCCATGTTTAGCCAGTGAGCTATGGGAATGACAAAGAGCAGGAACCCTCTCTCCTTACATCATTAAGAAAGCACTGAAGCACAATTCTGAGTAGGGGCTCCAGGGTATTAATATATATAATGGGAAAATGAAAAAAAACACAACAAACCAACCAAACATTCCTGATTCTAAACTGTTTAACCACTTCAGTTGAGATGATGGGCTAAGCTAAGCCATTCTACCTGCTCCTAATATACATGACAGCTACTGTGCCATCCTCTACAATAATCTCTGTAGGACAGGAAGAAAATCAAACACCCACATTCCATTTGAAATTATTTTTAGTAAGATGTATGAATCATCTTTGTCAATATAACCCAGAGGATAATGAAAGCCTTTAGAGAAGCTAACCCAGGTTACTCTTTCCATCACACCATTAAGCATGTCTAGAATTCTTTAAATCATGCTCTGTCAATTATTTTTTTAAATGTTGTTAAACTTTGTAACCATATTGCTCAAATCAGAAGAGATCTGATTTTTCTTACATATGTTACTTGCAGACAAGAAAAGAAAAATATGCAAAAGCAATCTTTAGGCTCCCTGTTTGGTATCTTCATTTGATTCAGTTTTAAGAGATGTTTTAAAACATTTGTTTAAAAATAGCTTTAGTGTTACCAAATAATTATTTTGTATTATTTATGTATTACTTTATGCTTGCTCTTTCCCAGCTATGCTAAAAAAACCCCAGCAGTGGATGGTAGCAGGCAGTGTTATAAACATTTTATACTGTATGTATAAATTAATATGTATTAATATTTACTTCCACTCTTCTCTTAAATCTTCTTTAGTACTAAAAGAGGTAATATCCTAGCTGGACATCAAGTAACTCCTCAGTGCAGTGAAGGCAATCTGCTTCTGTCTTGTCTTAGACCATTTTCTGACTCAGACATTCCCATCTTGTTGCCTTACACTTAATTTGCCTCCTCATTATCTTCTCAACCGTAAAAAGATGATAACTTCTTTACTACTTAAATAGAAACTCTGGACATAGCCAAGCACTCCCTGCAGACAAAAAAAATCTACAGTTTAATAGGTTTTTAGTCTGTCTTTGCCTGTGAAAACCACAAAAAAAATCCAGGCCACCCCATAAGGATACGTCTCATTTCTCCTTTGCCTTAGGCCAAAGGCACCTGTGCTACTGAACAAGTAAATTTTCCCTTACAGATGACCAACTCTAGAGTTGTACTCTGTTCCTGTTTGCTACTCGAGCCAGTTTAACTGCTTTTTAGCTCTTGCCTGAGGATATGCCCGTTCCTGCCTCAAGTCCTCTTCCAAGTATCCTCAGCTCAGCATAAAGAGACCAAGGGAGTGTGACATGATGATAGGCAAAAAATCCAAAACAGTTGTCTGGGAAGCCAGAAAGACGGGGAGAGGGAAAACAAGCTTGTGTTCCTTGAAGTTTACCAGCAGAGCACATGCTGACACAGGGTGTAATGGGAACACCTTCCCCTCAGAAAAAGGACAGTATGAAAATAATAATAAAACACTTTTCCAAGATTGAGCCTCAGCAGTACATTCTCACAAAAGAAAGCATGTAAAATATCCAGAGAACTGAAGAAAGATGAAAAATTGTCTTTTTACTAATGTGTCCCCATTTAGCCCAAAGCTGCAAGATGGTATTTCCCTAACATACACTTCTAGTTTCTGTCAATTGAAGACTTTGTGTTTTCCTGAACTGGAAGTTGTACCCAGTCTTCTGCATTTAACAAACTTGGATGCATCTTTCTGTCTTGAATTTGTCTAATCCTTTCTTAAACCTCTTTAAACATATGGTGGTATACAAACCATCTTGTATCAATGAAAATCTCAATTTATTTTACATTATGAAAAAAAGTATTTTCCTGCTGCCTAGCAATTTCACAGTGCCTCTGCTTCTTATTCTGTGGTAGCAGGGGATGATCAACTCTTTTCTTCACCCTCTGGGTCATTAATAGCTTTGTACATCCCTTTACATCTTTGCTGCTCACACTATTGTGCGCACTGTGAGACTCCTTTTTCCCTGGGGTGAAGAGATTTGGTGCATTCAGTCTCTGCCTGTACAGAAACTTCTCGATTCCTCTGCTCAGGCTGCCACCATCTCTTCAGCTCTCCCAGTTCCACCACATCCAGCTGGAAACAGGGTAACAAAAGCTGCACATAGCTTACGAAGCATAGGAACATCAGAAGTTAGAGCTGGAAGGTATTTTCTGTTCTATTCCTTTTCTGGTAACTCCTTTTTGTTTGATGAAGTTGCATTTTTACAAGCTCCTGGGCTGTGTGCCAGCATGATGTGAGATGACTTGATGTTTTCAGTGTTATTCTTCTAAACTCTGACTTCTCAGCAGTCGTCTGTCCTGTGGGATAGCTTCCCAGGAAAGAAGTGAATTGGTCAAGACTGAAGTGTCACTGCTACCTATGTACAAGCCACCTCTGCTATAGATTTCATCTCAAAGTGAGTGTTGCTGTTCTGGAAAGGTCCCTCTGGGAGAAGGCAGGTCCACACTATGGCTGAGCAGCTGCATTAGACACCACAGTATTCTAATGTAATTAGAAAACAGCTGTGAAGGAACAGTCAATTGTTTTTTGGCAGTCACGGCCAATTTTGCACCAGTGCAAATGATGAATCAAATCCTGCAAGTTTACAATATCTGCTGAGAGCATAATGGCAGAAGCCATGCTAATGATTTTAAATCTTGTTTATGCCATTTTTGGCTGATGGAGTAGTCCCCTGTCCCCTAGAAGCCTCCAGAGTGAAGGAATTCCCATAACACCTACTGAGCAGAAGAGAGGAGAGCCAATGGGTTGGGTGTGGAAATCAGGCAGCAACCTTTCAGCCACAGACTAAACATAGTACATTCTTCCTTTCTAGAGCAGAAACCATGCCTTTGAGCCATGCATTACTCACAGCCTCAGCAAATAAATATAAAATTGGCAAGAGAGAATAACACAAAGTACCCAGCTATTACCAGGCTTCTCCTCCCAGATTATCAAGCCCAGTCCACCAACCACGTAGTAATGAATCAGAAATATTTATCCAGGAGAACAGTGTTATTCCTTTAAACACGTTCCTCATCCCAGTTCTCTTAACAATACCTAGCTCTTTCAGGGCTATCAAATACAGCCTGTTAACTATCATCTGCTCCTAAAATGTGCGTAACTTTACTGTCTGAATGATGATGATAATCTCCAGGGCCACATTCTCTTGCTGAGGTCCCCCGCATGATCTTTCAAAATTATTGCATGTGTCAGCTGGGACTGGAAAAGCTTCATAGGAAGATAACTGCTAAAAACATATTTTTGCATTTTCATGTTAACATGAACAAATGGAATCCACTTGGCAATATGTTTGCATAAGTGCAAACTTTGAGATAAAGAAACAACATCTAAAAATGGCCCTTTGCCTTTCTTGTTCTGGCCTGAAAATAGCTGCATGTAAGTCTTTAGAAGGCAGTTCTTTCGGCCAGATAGTCAATAATTTTAATAGAATTAGCATGGGACAGAAATACCATCCAAAAATGGATTCATGTTTAATCTGGTAATCTGATCCCATATGGCACTTTAAAGAGTAGGAGGAATTAGTGTTTGCTGCTTAAAGAAATTACCCAGAAAATGACTGCTGAAGACAGACCAAATAGTCCCTCATCAGCATTCAGTGTGAAAAAGACAGGAGCAGAGGAACAAGAGAAGTTAAAAGGTGAGCCAGCAAAGAAAGCCAAAATTTGTTCCTGCATGGCTGGGAAAGGGATAGCAATCAGATGATAAAGGCAATCTCAAAAAGTACTGGATATAAATAAAGAGGAATTAGAATATATTGCGCAGGAGGGCAGAAGATAGTTTAAAAGCCAAACGTAACAATAAACCAAGCTCCATCCTTAAATGCCCATTCACCTTCCCTGCAGTTCTGAGAAGGTGTTAAGGATGCACAGTTTTGTCCCATA